GAAACACCACGAGAGAGACAGCAGAGGAACGAGGTCCACCCCCTTTCTCAACCGTCGTCCACCTTCACCCACAACCACCACTGTACAGCCTTCCTTTCGTGTTCACTCCCCAGTCCCAGAAGCTCGCTCAGATTGCTCGCTTCTGATTTGTCCAAAATGAAATAAGCTGGTCAGCCCAAGGGAAAAGACAACAGGAAAACCGGGCCCCCTGGCAAGCCTATCTTAGCAGGGGACCAGGGGCCAGACGGCGTGTGCCCTCCTCGCACCTCCCGGTCCAGCTCGCTCCTCTTCTCATCTCCAGAAGCAGGAGATCCAAAGTGAGATGCTCCACTCCCGTCATGGCCGGGCAGAGGCACCGCTGAACTATTCGTACGGCGAACCATCCATTACCCTGCTGCAAGGCGAGGTAGCACACGCCTACGAATAGTGTACACGCCTGGTGCTGGCAGCGGTTCATCCACACTTCACACTAAGGACTAAGGTAGTCCACCACCACCCCCAACCCAGTCCCAGTCCCCATGTTGTGTTGCGTCCATATCTGTATATAAGTCCATTTCCTCCAGACCATCCCGACTGCTGTTCTTTTTCCCTCCTCACCCACACTCACTTACCAATACCGACCCAGACTTTTTAGTCGCTTTCATTCGTTAACCAACGCCCTAATCCTCAACCACTCCGCAACTACAACTCTTCGAGTTTTAATTCCAACCAACCCTCCCCCCAAACCGTCAAAATGAAGTTCTCCGCTGCTGTCCTTGCCTTCGCCGCCGGCGCCATGGCCAACAAGAACATCACCTACGTCACCGAGGTCGTCTCTGCCTACACCACCTACTGCCCGGCTGCCACTGTCATCACCCACGGTGACAAGACCTACACCGTCACCTCGGTACGTTAACGAATCTGGAGGCTGGGTCGGGCTTCAACGGGAGTTTCCTGAGAGACGCGGGGATGACCAGCAAGAACACGCTCAGCGCCGATCACCGCGAATCTCTGCGATCTCTCCCAGGGCCTCACTCAGCCTCATCTTCAACATGCGCAACAACATCCAGCTAACATACCTACACAGGCCACCACCCTGACCATCACTGACTGCCCCTGCACTGTCACCAAGCCGGTCATCACCTCCTCCATCGTCAAGTGCGAGACCTGCACCGCTCCCACCAAGAACGCCACCATCCCCATCGCCACCCCCGCCGTCTCCAAGACCGCCCCTGCCACCGGCGCCATCACCCCCACCAAGCCCGTCTCCGTCCCTACCGCCGGTGCTGGCAAGGCCGCTGCCCTCTCCGGTGCCGGTCTGGCCGGTGTCCTCGGTCTCGCTGCCTTCGTCCTCTAAATCAACCACGGTCACGCCTCGCCATCCACGTCTCCCCCTACGCAAGTACGATAATATCCTAATTCGTGGGAGCCTATGACATCTAATGACTGGAGAGCGGTTGTGAACCTTCCATCAGCTTGGATGGTTGTGTTTGTTTTCTAAGGGACGAAAGGGAGAGGAGTTTCGGGAATAGAGAGAACTTTGGGGAGTCAAAAGAGAAGCGAGAAGGAACGTCACTCTACGCGACCACGGAAAATACCCGGTACATTTATCACGGCAGCTACGACTTGCGCGCTTGGAAAGACTACTTTTTTCTCTGGCCAGGCTTGGTCGTAGCAGTCCTGTCAATACTGCCAACTTCTTGTACTTGCTTACCACCAACACAAACGGTTTTGTCTCGGGTTATTTGAGGAGGCCCCGTTTTCCACACAAATCAACGCGCCCACTGAGGATTATCACCAAATGTGTGCGGTCTATACCACCAAAAAGGCTTTTTTTTCGGGAGGCTTAATGGGAATATAATGCGATTCACGATAGGTCATCTGTTGTCCACTGTCTTCCTCTTCGCAGCAGATTGTCTGTTGACAAAGTCTAAATCTACTATATTCTTCTCTCGAAGCGCTTCCCCACCATGTTCGCCAGCCCTCCGCCAACATGACTATCTCCATTCGTGTACAATTTTTTTGATCATGTCGATACCTTGTATTGAGACGGCGAGCATGGAAAACCCCCGAGTTCTCTTCAACAGAAAATGGGTGGATGTTTTATGGTCTCTTGTCAATTCTCACAGTGTCTCTGAGTACGCCCAATAGAACATTGCTGAGAGACCAGTTTTGGTCCGCCACGTACAATTTCTGTCCTCCCTGCAGGTGAACCACGGTCGTCTCACGATTGCCAACGACCCTTCCCAAGTTGACAGCATTCCAGAATGCCACAATCAGATTGCGGAATTTCTATACTTGGATCATGTGGAGTTGATCTGACTCTTCGTGAAGCTAGCAATTACGAGGTGACGTCAAGCTGTGCGTCGTCGTCGACGATCGAGAACTGACTCCGCGGACATAACATTCAAAGCGCAATTGTGGCCCTCATTCCACAGCAAAGACGAAAGACACTCGCAGCGACTCACCGGACAAAAAGATCTGACTCGAACTTTTGGGAGTTTAGTGATCCCGCAAAGACCAAAACAAAAGCGCCTCGCCCGATTGACTCTAAGAAACACTGTTTCTCGATTTAGATCCAAGGTTTTCCTCCCCTTTTTCTCGAAGCCGTGCAGAGACATCGAAGCGGCGCGGAATGGAATGGCGGTTTGAGGCGCCGACGCCACACAACGTGCGTGCCGTGCCGGGTCGGATCTCAACACGCGTGGACGGACCAGCGCCCATCGTCGGACCGTCGAGACACAAAAATACCACACAACGCAAGGGAAGACGCTCTGGCCTGAGCGCAAACCCTCCTCAGGTACGTCTGCGAACTCTGAACGGAAAGAAGGAGGAGAAGGTTGCAAATGGGGCTGGTTCCATCTTGGCGCTTCTCGAAGGTGAGCAGCGGGCGTTCTCATTCCTTTTTTCCCTTCTCATCCGACGCCGCAGCAGCAGCACGCAGCTAAACTGCACGAGGACGGAGGCGAGCAGGCTACAAGGAGACGGCGAAGCTGATGAGGCGCGTTGAGGCCGAGAGCTGAACGGCCTGAAAGCTGCAGCTGCCGCCTGGCCTCCCTCCCCTGGAGTGATTGACCGCCTCGTGTCGTTGCAGTGCAGTCAGTCAGTCCCTCCCCCTTGGATAAGGTTGTTTGGTCTGCTCAATCTCGTCCATCCCTATCGGGCGGTTTTCTTTTCAGGGGACGTCGGGACCACCAAGGCGCCGCCGCCACTGTGCCGTACCTGTATTTTGCAGCGCTGGGCGGTGGGTTGGGGAGGTCGGATTGGACGGGACGTCGGAAGATGGAGGTGTGGAACCTGCTGCATTTCGCAGTGGAGAGAGCACTTAGCAAGTGGATGGATATCCTCAGATCCTGGGCCAGCAACAACCTGGAACTTGACAAGCCAGACAGCTGGAGCGCCAGAACAATGCGGTCAGATCAAGAGGCGCGATTGCAGAAGAGAACCCGAGACGAGACACTGAGATTTCATTTCCCGCGAAACAAGTGCTGGAAGCACCTCTCCTGAATCTTGGGCAAATGTCAATTCTCTAATCCGCCTCCCTTGGGGGCCCTTGGAGAACGAGGCCTTTTTTTTTTCAACCCCCATCACTCGTTTCCTGACACCCCATGCCCGTTCCCACAAGGCCAGCAACACCCCGCAGCAAAGCGAGATTAGCAACTTGTCCGGGCCTCGTCACGCCGATCTTCATTAATTTGGATTCACGAAAAGAGGTGCATGAAACAATACGCGGTTTGCTTTAGTCCGCGGGGGGTTGTGAACGAAAAGTGGAATAATTGCTCAGAAGAGCTGGGTAGGTTTGTCAAATTGGTATTGGTTGCATTTGAGCGTGATTGTGTGTATTCTTCTCTGTTTCATCTGGCTATGGCTCCAATTGCTCCCGTTCGTTCGCGTGCGTTCTTCGGGGACCATGAGGGAATGGAGCATTCTGGACATGACCTGACTCGAAACGCTGCCACCGTTAAAGCCCAACGTTGCCTAAGATGCCCTTACTTGCTCCCTTGCCTCTGCCATCAGGCGGCTTCTTTTCTTCTGTTCTTGTCTCGGCCTCATGGTGGACTCAGCCTCCTGGTTTACTCTCTGACGAGGTCGCCTGGACCCGACGTCAGCAAAGAAGCAAGTTGTGTCTTGCGTGACGGTATTAGGTGGCCAAGCCATCGAAAGTGTTGGAGGACCTGTCTGCTGCATTCAGTTCAATGACAATAGCTCGGTGAGCCGAGGAGAATCTACGGGAAGGATGGGTCTCGCGGGGAGCCAGTGGGGTCCTTTCGCGGAGATCTCATCGGTTTATGGGGTAAAGTCGGCGATTTCTCGTCTTTGAAGGACGGAGCACGCTGCCGTCAGGAAACCGTGGAAACTCGGCCTGGTCCGTACAACTAACTCCAAGTTGCCTTCTGACTTCCATGTTTCCGAAATGTTCGTCGCAACTGTTCTTGTCAAAGACCAACCACTACTACAACAGGAATTGCTCTTAGAACCGTGAACATAATGATAGTCATTCTCAGCGGCTCCAAATTCCAACGTCGCCAATCTGCCAAAAAGCATGCAACTCATGCATATCCTCAAATCACTGTTCAATCATATTTTCACAGCGCAATAGTTAGTTGTGATCGACGCGCATGTAACCCCGTGGGGTTCCCCGGCCGAAGGAAGCCGCCAAGTTCGGTTGGAGACGTCGGTGTGGTCGGCAACGATGGGCGGCGCTCATCTACCCCGGGGCAACGGAATGCGGGGAAGCTGCCTCTCAGCGCCAGCGCATTTACCGTAGAGAGAGCACGTCAGCAATCGACCATGGTTCACGTCTCTTTTCTCCGTGATACATCCGTCTCAACCCTTTCCCAAACCTCCAGCTGTCCGGGACGCCTCAGAGAGCCGAGGCCAACGTCGTGCTCCCTGCTTCATGCGCTGTGATCAGACACTTTATAGATTGTGTGTGAAGCCTATGCCGTTGTGAATGTGCAAATGCTTTATTCCATGCCTTGGTTTTCTCAATCAACTACACAAGTTTCACCGCTTCAAATATGGATGACAACTTTCACCCCCAGGATGAGGTCCTGCGGCACTCACTCGAGGATCCTGAGGGTTTCTGGTCTCACCAGGCGGAACATCTGCATTGGCACAAGAAACCCACATCAACGCTAAAGGTTACCAAGAAGACGCTCAAGAGCGGCGTCACTCACGACTCGTGGGAGTGGTTCCCAGACGGCGAGATCTCGACCTGCTTCAACTGTGTCGATAGACACGTCCACGACGGCAAGGGCGATGCACCGGCCATCTTCTACGACAGCCCGGTCACCGGAACAAAGCAAACGCTCACATACAAGCAACTCCTGGATGAGGTTGAGGTGTTCGCCGGGGCTCTGAGGGAAGAGGGCGTCAAGAAGGGCGACGTGGTTTTGGTGTACAGTAAGACCAGCCTTTCACCGGGAGCCACCCGGAAGTTTTTTTAAATCTGTAAGAGAAGCTGACACGGGTTCCCAGTGCCCATGATTTCTGCCGCCCTCATCGGCATCCTCGCCGTCAGCCGCCTCGGTGCGATCCACGCCGTCGTCTTTGGCGGCTTCGCGCCCAACGCGCTCGCTCAGCGCATAGAGGCCTCGCAGCCCGTGGCTATTCTCACAGCATCGTGCGGCATCGATGGCAACAAGCCGCCGATGAGTTATAAGCCTCTCGTGGAGGAGGCATGTGCCATTTCCTCCCACAAACCCGATAAAGTCATCGTCTGGCAGCGTGAGCAAATCCGATGGCATCCTATCAACAGAAACGACGGCGAACGAAACTGGCAGAGCATCGTGAAGAGCTGTCGTGCGAGGGGTATCAGGGCAGAGTGCGTGCCGGTCAAGTCGACGGATCCGATATACATCATCCACACGTCCGGGACGACGGGGTCGCCAAAGGGGGTGCTGAGAGACGCTGCCGGTCACGCCGTGGGCCTCCATCTGTCGATCAGCTATCTCTTCAACATCCACGGTCCCGGGTGTGTGTCATTTACGGCTTCTGATATCGGATGGGTGAGACCACACATTCTCACAACAACTTGTTGTTATCATTGTTAACGCTTGGTGACACAGGTCGTTGGGCACAGCTACATCGCCTATGCCCCTCTCTTCACCGGCGCGGCAACGGTGCTTTACGAGGGCAAGCCGGTTGGGACGCCAGACGCGTCGGCCTTCTGGAGAATAGTAGAGGAGTACAAGGTGAACACCATGTTCACGGCCCCGACAGCGTTGCGCGCCATCAAGCGCGACGACCCCGAGAACAAATTCCTCAGGCAAGTGGGCGAGCGCGGAGGTCTCCGGACCCTCAAGGGTCTCTTCCTCGCCGGGGAGCGGTCCGAGCCGGCAATCATCACAATGTACCAGGAGCTTCTCGAGCGATACGGAGCAATCGACGCCCACGTCGTTGACAACTGGTGGTCTACCGAGGCAGGCTCCCCGATCACGGGGAGAGCTCTCGTGCCGCACGCGGGGAAAGACAGGAAGACGGACGTCCGGGACCATCCTCCGCCCAAGATCAAGCCCGGAAGTGCTGGAAAAGCGATGCCGGGCTTCGACGTGCGGATCGTGGACGATGCCGGCGACGAGGTGCCCAGGGGCACAATGGGGAACATCGTCCTCGGCCTGCCACTCGCGCCAACAGCGTTCAGAACGCTCTGGCAGGACGAGGAGCGATTTTACAAAGGATACCTAAAGCGCTTTGATGGGAAGTGGTTGGATACAGGAGATGCGGGCTATATTGACGCCGAGGGCTACGTCAACGTCATGTCCCGGAACGACGATGTGCTAAATGTCAGCGCCCATCGTCTGTCCAGCGGTAAGTTTCACTCCCCCTCACGTTCAAACGTGAACAGAAAGACTGATGAGTGTACAACATACGCCAGGCGGCCTCGAACAAGCCATCACATCCCACCCCCTCGTAGCCGAGGCCTGCGTGGTCGGTATCCCAGACGCCCTTAAAGGCCAGCTCCCCTTCGCCTTCATCACGCTCTCGACGCCCGATCATCCGACCTCGGCAGTGCCCGACGGCAAGCTCGCCGACGAGATTCAGGCGCTGGTGCGGTCGCAGGTCGGCGCCATCGCGACACTGGGCGGGCTCATCCAGGGGAAGGGCATGATTCCAAAGACACGCAGCGGTAAGACTTTGCGTCGTGTCCTGAGGGAGCTATTGGATAACGCGGTCCACGGCGAGTTTGACAAGGAGGTGCAGGTGCCAAGCACTGTTGAGGATGCCGGCGCGGTCGAGGTTGCGAGGGCCAAAGTCAGGGAGTACTGGGAGATCAACGGGGATGGTCACAAGAGCACAGAGGCGAGGGCGAAGCTGTAACTTGGACTTCTTAACAGAGCGAGCGTTCTTTGAACAATACAGAGTATTAGATCTTGGTCTTGGTTGCGGGTACGAATTGCGCGATGACTTGAGGGACAAATGTGAACTGATTGGCCATGCAGGGTTTGTAAGTCAACCCGGACAGGGTGTAGGCAAGACTGCGGATATTTATGACTCTTCAAACTAATGGTAGCTGATGTATTTGGACTCGCCATTTATTCTGTCCATTGTCAAGCTCTGACTACTTGTCTACTTCGCGTCCATCAGCTTTGATGCACGTACGGAAGAAATCATGAACTATCAAACGCCTACCTGAGAAGATCATCCCGCAAATCTTTTGATGCTTTTCCTGGATTCCCCAACGAATTCCCATCTAAGTGACAAGCAGGGGCTTCGTACGTCGTTCTAAAGCGCCACAGCGACAGAACTCTATGTTACAAGTTCAACTTCATATCACCACACCATAGGCAGAGAGAGACCACATGTCCAGGTACAAGAGTATCGAACTGCCACCGATTGATAAACAGCACACACGTAACTATCTATAATATCACATAATCCTGCGCTTGCGGCAGCGCGGCTAACACGTCCCGGCCATGCTGTGCGACTTCCCAACATGACGGCACTGCTGAGCTGGCACCGCATGCCAGCATCAGACCAGGAGGACATGATTACATATCGAATCCTGTGTCCCAACTTTTTCCTAACGGGAGTGTCCAGCCCAGGGAATCACAAGAGGATTTTACGCAACGGCTGTCGCGCAAAACCACACAACCCACCGCCATGCCGAGACGGCTCACCCTTAAATCTGCTCTCTTCGTTCGACATGTTTGACAAAGCCCTCGCTCGCCCCCCACGAGCCCTCGACACGCATCCAGTCATTTCCTCCCATTCCCAACTTCGAAATAACGTTACGAGGTGCTGAACCCACCCCAAGATCCCGTGTCCTCGTCCAGCGGATGTCACTTGAGAAGAAAATACGGACGGTGCGACATCAGAACCCGTCCGCTACGAGTACCACGCGCCCGCAGCTGCGTGATACAGACCGCAAAGAAAACACCCAGTCCTTCACTTGGACCATGGCCTCGTAGTCCGTGTCTCCTCCCCTGGGTCCCCTCTCCTAGGATCCCTGGCGGTGTAACCAAGGCCAGTCCGCAAGCACGCTCCCCATTTTCCCTTTCCCCGACAACGAAACGGCTTGCATCCGGTGCCGCGACAGGAGAAAAAAATGACCGACCTGATGCTCGCCCGCCCGCCCGTATCGAGTCGTCCCGTCGTACCATGTTTGGGTCTACGGGTCGTCGAGCCTTTGTGTCACCACACTGATGCTGTGAAGAGGAGCATGTTTTCCGGGCCGGGCAAGATCTCCGCGGTGTTGTGTTGCGCAGAGAATCGGACGGGAATCCTTGCGGTGTAGTTTTCCCTTTGTTCTCGATGGGCACAGCCGGCAAGGGATAGTGATGCTGCACGAACCAGCCTGAGAGGCCCCTGGATGGGCCTGGAACAGTGAGAATGTCGAATCTGCAAGGGATAGAAGATGCTAAAGAACGCTTCGTATGCTAGAAAGAGTTTGCCTGCCCATCTTATGCTTGGTATCATGATGTCTCCAGTCCCCCAAAATGCCATGTGCGTATGCAAAGTAGCCTTCAAACCCATGTAGAAACCGTCATCCAACTTCATGCGCCTCAAATGCAATCGCAACAGTGATCGGTCATCGACTAGCCGAACCAGCGGAAGGACCTGTCGAGGGCGACTTTCCAAACATGCCGTAGACGCTCTTCTGCCCCTCTCTTGCAATCTTCAGCGGTGCAAACCGTGCTTCCGATAACCGAGTTCCTGCCTTTAGACTCTCGAGCACCCTTTCCGAAGCTGTCAGTGCATGTTTGCAGGTATGAAGAAGAGATGACCAGTAGAACATACCACTCGACTCCAACATACTTCACTCCACAGCCGCCCACCTTGCGAATCTCCTTCTCCAGCTTGCCACTTGCGAGGCCACCACCGGTTCCAGCCCCGACTCCCGCCGGCCTGCCCACGATGACGTGCGTAACCTGCCTCCGGCCGAGGTGTATCGACATGCGGGCGCCATTCTCGACCAGCACGCGCTTGAGCTTGTGATCCGAGATAATGGGATGCGTGCTGCCGTTGACATAGACAGTTACGCCCTCGAACAAGCCACGTCCAACAGCTGCCTTCTCCTCCTTTTCTTCGTCCTCCCTCCTGCGGGCCTCCATAATGGCTTCCTCATTTGTTGAATCTCCTCTCACGGCTGATGCCGTCGAAGTAGCGGATCCAGCGTCAGAGATGGACGAGCCGCTCCTCATCAGCCCCGGCCTCGCGAGCATATCGGCAACGCTTGTCGTTGCCCGTGCCCTGACGTTCTTGGGCACAACCATCTTGAGCTGCTCATCGTAGTCTTCGCTCCCGGCGCCGTAGGTATCTCTCATACGGACGCCACCGGAGTGGCCCGCAGCGAACTGCCCGGCGAGTTTGCGGGCTCGGCTGTCCCGCCACCCGAGAGTCGCGCCGGGTGCCGTCTCCGGGCGTTGATGGCCGGTAGCGCTGGAATTGTACGGATCGAAGTTGTTGCTGAAGCGCGGCTTCGCGGCCGGCGGCAGGGGAGTCTTTTCTGGCGGCGGCATCGTGTTGTATGTAGCAGGAGGAACGCCTCTTTGCTTTTTCGTTTTTTCCTTCTGCCTTGATGCACAAAGGGTCGGGTTGGACGACGGGCAGTTGATATTAGGTAGGGAATAAGAAGTTCATGCACGTCAACACTGCGACTACGACGTTGTCCAAGTCCATGGGTCGGAATGGGAAACGACTGGTCGAAATGACGATTACTTTGGATTTTTTTTTAGTGTATCCTCTATTTCCCACCAAACAAAGACAGCCTCCCAAACGCGAGGGACGCGTAGCCGCAACACGGGAGGCACAAAGCGCAGGACCATCAGGGCCAATCCAGGCGCGAAGAAGGCGCGGGGCACGTGACCCTGTTTTGTGTGTTCCTTCCTCCTCCTTCAAGGGAAGGGAAGGGAAGAGAAGGGAAGCGCCCGGTTCAGGTGCAGCGCAACGAACGAAGGCAGTCCCAGTCCCGGTGAGAGACACGACCTGACGGTGTGTTTCTCTCCACAACCTGGGAAGTTATTTGTAACTTGGTGCTGCATGGTAGTGCCTCTCACCAGGCCCGGGTGTCTTCCTTCAAGTCAGTGTACGACGCACCTACCTACCCAAGCTCCCAATTCCAACAACGTGAGGCATCTCCGGCTGCGCTGCCCTGCATACTCTTCACAGCTATCTGCAGTACGCCGTACGTATGCGCGCATGTGCACGTCAAAGTCCCTTGGAACCTTCCGCAAGCTGGAAGCCAAAAGCATGACCGAAACGCTTCGACCATAGGGGACCTTTCACCTCTCACCTCAGCTTCAACCTCGGAGACTCCTGCAGGTACGGATACACCATCATCAGCCTAATGTAAACACCGGACCGACACGCCCCTCTCCCTAAACAATCATTGTTTCTTCCCACGAGCCCACACTCAACCAATCGACCGACGCACATGCCCACCCGCGCACACACGAGCCCACGGAACCGGAACCGGAACTGTCAGTGTGAAGACGGACGTCAGGTCGAGACGCAGCGAGGTGCGAATGCGAAGACACCCCGAAAGAGAGAGAGAGAGAGAGAGAGAGAGAGAGCGCGCCAAGGTCAAGATGTTTGTCTTTTTGTCCGGAGGAATACCGGACTTGGGCCTCAGATGTTGCTTCCACAACCCAACAATACCCCCAACAGAAGGCTATTCCTATCTTCTACCACCACCACCACCACAATACTGAGTACCGAGTACAATGGCGTATGATATCGCCGAAACCAAAAAAAAGGAAACAGAGTTCCGTCCCTTTGATCGTCGCATCCACCCGTAAACTGCATTCGCACATCGAACCTGGACGAGTTGGGGGTGTCCTCGCTGCGGCAAAAAAAACAAAGCCACCCAATCGGTCTCCAATGTCGCCCGCTCTGGCAGCGCATCCCCCACAGACGACGCCAGTCATGCATATCACGCCCTCTCCAACCCCATCGGCCGAAGCTTGCACCTTAAAGAAAAAGCTTACACAGCCGGATTCCCCTGCTTCAGAGAATCACCGAAGCTTCGCCTGTTCCCACACCCATTCGCCCGTCCGCCGTCCACAGAGGTGCCAGACGCAAAGCTTGTAGCATCCAAGCTCTCTCATCTCAGGTACACCTAGCTCCGGCCCAACAATTGACTTAGATCCCCAAACCTCTGCCGCGCGGCGACCGCCGGGAAACACCAAACGAAAAGGGTCGTTTCCTCCGCCCCGGACCTGGTCTGCCACATCGTCGGCTCGCTCACTGCTGCACCAACTCGGGGACTCCCATGTCTGCCATCTTCGCCTCTTCCCGGACCAACTTACGCACACACGCATGCACGCCAACTGCACCACCAGATGCAGCCTTCCTTGCCTGCGAACCTTTTTTTCCTTTCTTCCCTCTTCTTCTCCTGCATCAAGACTGCTGTTCCCCTGGGGCGACCCTTGGACATTCGACAGAAACACCGGTGCTCCGTCACATGTATAACACACCCTTAGGTTCTTATCATGCCGTACCAGGAGTTCATGCACGATGCCCGCTGCCCGCCGCACCGCTGCCCACTACTTTGTACCTGCCTTCCGAGACTTCTCTCTCCCCTCCTCCTGCCGCAGTGTTTCGCGGCTACATTCGCTGGGACAGGGCGTGGGAGGTAAAGGATGCTGCCCTGCTGCCCCTGACAGCAACCTCGACGGCGGCATGTGCCATGCCCTGCGACGCCTACATACATCAAACGACCTAACATGCCATTCATTGCAGACTGTGAGAAATGACAAGCGACCAAACTCCCGGGGAAAAAGAAAGCTGAAATCGACAAAACGCACCGAGGCTTGCATATTCTGCGCGCTTTTGCTGCACAGCAACTAGGCGCCGTGCATTCTTCAACGCTGCACTGC